AAGTGTTCTCCTACAGGTTTTTGTATATTCCTAATATCTGATTTTTGTCCATTTATCCTCTTGCGTAGGGACTGTCCAGTTTTGCCGAGGTACATAGCAGAGGGGCATTGCTGGCATATGATGGCGTATATTACATGGGTGGATGTGCAGGTGAATGAACCGGTGATGGTGTGGCTGATCTGGTTAGGTCCTGTGATGGTGTCGCTGGTGTAGATATGTGGGCAGAGTTGGCATCGAGGTTTGTTGCATGGGTTGGTTCCTGAGTTAGAGTTACTATGGTGAGGTGTGTAGTTACTGGTGAGAATATGCTTTAGGTTGGTGGCTTGTCTGTGGGTGAGGACTGGCCTGCCACCCAAGGCCTGTGAAAGTGAGGGATCATTGTCCAGGATGGATTGTAGATCACTGATGATGCGTTGGAGAGGTTTTAGCTGTAGAGGGACTGTATGTGATGGCCAGTGGAGTTCTGTTGGTTTGTTCCTTGGGCTTGTCTTGTAACAGGAGGCTTCTGGGTACACGTCTTGCTCTGTTGATCTGTTTCCTTATTTCCTCGTGCAGGTATCGTAGTTTTGAGAATGCTTGGTAAAGATTTTGTAGGTGTTGGTCTCTGTCTGAGGGGTTGGAGCAGATACGGTTGTACCTCAGTGCTTGGCTGTAGACAATGGATCGTGTGGTGTGTCCGGCATGAAGGTAGGCATACTAGCCAACTACAAAAGCAGTTTCTCCTCTCTTGGTGTTCACACCTCAACTGCTAGAAGAGGGCCTCATCCTCCCTGATTGAACTAACCTCGTTATCTCTAGCCTGACTCACTCTTGCTTGCATATTTATACCCGCCTCTGGAAATTTCCACTACATGCATCCGACGAAGTGGGTATTCACCAACGAAAGCTCATGCTCCAATACATCTGTTAGTCTATAAGGTGCAACAGGACTCTTTGCTAAATTTAGCCTGGCCGCCCCCATGTCATGAAAGACCACACGGCCACTCACTGGAATTTGGCACTGCCGCCCTTTCCTTCATGATATAGGAGTGACTGAGCCAAATCTCCCACCCTAGGCTTCTGAGGAGGGGGATGGTACACTGAAGTTTTGCCTAGGGCGGCAGATTGACTTGAGCAGCCTCTGGGAGATTTCAACATATTCTGCTAAAAGTCAATGGGAGTTGAGCAATCTCAGAGCCTGGAAGTCTAAGGACCAGAAACTGGAACCACAGAGACGCTATGATTCTGCACTGACCTGGAGAGGAAATGGTTGGGTCACTGTCCCTGACCCATGTGACCACAGGCGTCCGTTCCCCTGGAAAGGCATGATGACGGCTCCTATCAATATAAACTGCACCGACGGCAAGGAGCAGAACATAGACATCCGCAGCCATGCACCCGGACAGCTCCTACCACAAATGGGACAACTCAGAGCAAGTGGAACTGACAGTGCAGGAAGCGAGCAGCATACCTGGAAGAGGTGGTAAAGGTGAGCTGGTGTGAGGAAGGGTGGTCTTGTGATTAAGGAGCTACCTTGGGAGTCAGGAGGCCTGTGTCCGATTCCTGGCTTTGCTTATTTGAGTTTGGCCGGTGCCCACAATCAGGATAGTTTCTCTCTCCCCCAAATTAGTGTCTGGATTGAGTCTGGATATTCCCATCATCCACATAAACTCCTTTCTTATCATGGGGCAAACTCATCCCTGGGTTACTCCAGTGCCTTCAGTGTTGCTATTCCAGGGATGAAACTGGTCCTGTGAGCCTGCCCATATCTTCCCGCTAGAGACTGAGAGGATTCTCATGCTCCCTTTAAGGCAGGAGCATCTCAATCTGAGTGTCACACTCCCCTGCCCTTCCCATATTGCTAAAAGGGAGAGGGATTCCCAACATGGAGAATGGAACACAGGGAAGGCTGAGAACTACCTCAAGGTATTAATATGGTGAATCCCTCCCCTCCCTTTGTTCAGTCATCTTCTCTTGTAGGGAACCATGTTCAGTGCCGGGAGTCTGTCCCGAAAGGGAATGTTAGGAGGGGTTGATCCCGCATTGAGAGATCTAACCAGTGCTGCTCCCCACAGCTCTTTGCCTTTCCAACTTCACCCAAGGGAAGGCCATTGCGATCCTGTATCTCCTGCTGGTGATTTCAATTGCAGTGGCCACAGCTCTCATCGTGGTGAAACTTGGGAAATGTAAGTCTCCTGTTCGTTTCTACCTCGGCCTCACATCTCACCTGCCAAGAGTGAGGCTGCTCTGACTAGTTTGGGGTGGATTTTAGCAGTGGGGCACAAAATTGGGCTGAGACTGGAGGCTCAGTTGTGACCTTAATTATGGAACTGTTGCCATTGCTAGGTAACTTTCACTCACCTCTGAGTTAAGGTGACCGGATTTTCAAAGGGGAGGAATTTGTCCTTAGCATAACTCCCGCTAGCTTTCCATGGGACTTGTGCTCGTAAATCTCAGAAAAATCCCACCCAAAATCAATAACCGGCCGTGTTTGTGGTGACCTTTTGAAGGTTGTGAAATATTCATACAAAAATGTTCTTTTTCAACGCTGTGCTGGGGCCAGTGCAAAGGGCTGGCTGCGGCTTCTGCTAGCGGAGAGGGAATGTCTGGGTGTGAGAAGAATGCAACAGGGGCAGTGGCACAATGCGCTGCCACAATCG